AGCATCGTCCCGACTCGGCCCGAAAGCGTGCGAGAGGGGGAGAGAGAGGGGGGAGAGAGAGGGGGAGAGAGAGGGGGGAGAGAGAGAGGGGGAGAGAGAGAGAGGGGGAGAGAGGAGAGGAGAGAGGGGGAGAGAGGGGGAGAGAGAGAGGGGGGGAGAGGGGAGAGAGGGGAGGAGGAGAGAGGGGGAGAGAGAGAGGGGGAGAGAGAGAGGTGGGAGGAGAGTGAAGAGAGAGGGGGAGGGGGGGAGGGAGAAGAGAGAGAGAGGGTGGGGAGGGACTGACTGACTGTGACTGACTGACTGTGACTGACTGACTGTGACTGACTGACTGTGACTGATTGACTGTGACTGACTGACTGTGACTGACTGACTGACTGTGATGGACGGACTGTGATGACTGACTGTGACCTGAAAACATGACTGTGACTGACTGACTGTGCCTGACCTGACTGTGGCGCTGACTGACTGTGCCTGACTGACTGACTGTGACTGACTGACTGTGACTGACTGACTGACTGACTATGACTGACTGACTGACTGTGACTGACTGACTGACTGAGATGACCTTGCAGTGTTTGACATGAGAAACTTTGTTGATTTACCTACTCACATCTCTGGCTCCTCTTGACCCGTAGTGAGTAAGTGAAATCTGGCAGAAGGCATAGTCACTTGGTCTACCCCTCGGCTATGTTGGATTGTCTGACCACAAGGCTGTTTTTACGATACTTAAGATCTCAACAGAATGAGGTGAGGAGTCCACACGCACAACCTGGCTATGGGAAAGAGGTAATTGGCCAGCCCTTCGCTCTGAGCTCGCCACCATTGATTGGAATGCTCTTCTCCAAGGGGATGTTGACAACCAAGTGAAAGTCTTCACTGGACACATCCTTAATCTACAACAAGAACACATTCCTCACCGGCAATATGTGACGAAGCCTACGGATCAGCCTTGGTTTGGCTTTCATTGTAGAGAGGCTGCTACTGCTAAGTACAAAGCATGGCGAAGGTATAAGAGACATCCTACCACCTATAACAGGAAGTTGCACAGGCAAGCCTGTAGACATATGGGTGACGTTCAAAAGTGGGCCATTGCTAAATGGGAGGTGGACACTTAAAAGAAAGCTAGCATCAGGTAGGGTAGGCTCCAAACCCTGGTGGTCCCTGGTCAAGGACAGACAAGGTTATCTGCCTGATGAACTCATTCCACCTCTAAATCGACAGGATGGAACCACCTCTACTAGTAGTCAAGAGAAGGCGGACCTCTTTGCTGAACACTTTGCTACCAAAATGCAAGTTCCTGATCCAGCAAGGGACCCTCCTTGGCTAGCTGCAAGAACTGTGTCAAAACTGTCAGTGGTGACAATAAGGCAGGAGGAGGTGCATTTCCTTCTTAAATCGCTTGACCAAGAAAAGGCTGTGGGCCCAGACAAGTTGAGCCCAAGATTGCTGAGATGTGCAGACCAGCTAGCAGCACCTCTAACTCACATCTTTCAGCACTGCCTAGTACAGTGTAAATGGCCCTCTTTATGGAAAGAGGCAAATGTAGTCCCTGTTCACAAAAAGAAGAGCAGAGCAGAAATCAGCAACTACAGACCAGTGTCACTCCTGTCAATCACTGGTAAGATCCTTGAGACAATAATCTCAAGACAAATGACAGAGTTTTCTGACTACCACTCACTACTTTGTGATCGCCAATATGGCTTCAGGAAAGGTTACTCTGCTGCTGATCTGTTGTTAAACCTCTCCACTAAGTGGCACCAGTCACTGGATGAATCCAAAGTCAGCTGTGTGGTAGCACTGGACATTGCTGGCGCTTTCGACCGGGTGTGGCACCAGGGCCTCTTAGCAAAACTTCAAGCACTGGGAATTGCAGGCTCTACGCTATGTCTCCTCAGTGATTACCTTCATGGTAGAACTCTAAGTGTAGTTCTCAATGGAACGGAATCAGCAAGACATCCTATTGGGGCAAGTGTTCCACAAGGTAGCGTGCTGGGTCCATTGTTATGGAATGTCTACTTCAACGACCTTCTTCATCTCATCCCAGAATCACATGCATATGCAGACAACTGTACACTGACATTCACTTATCCAAGAGAAGAAATGCCAGCTGCTCTAAGCTACATCAATCACCAGCTGAGAGCTATATCAGCTTGGGGAAATAGATGGCAAGTAACATTTGCACCTGAGAAAACGCAAATGATGATCGTCTCTAGGCACCATGATGGTAATGCTGGTGCAGTAGTAAGGATAAATGGAGGGTGTTGGCACCTGGAGAAGAAGTTGATATCCTTGGGGAGAAATTTTGACTCCAAACTAACCATGAAGAACCATGTTGTAAATCTTGCAAACAAGGCAGCCAGGAAGCTTACAGCACTTCGCCGTATCTCGCATCTGCTTGACAGTAGGGGTTGCAAGATCCTGTACGAGGCGCAAGTACGCTCACACCTTGAGTATGCTCCACTTTCTTGGTTTGCTTGCCCCCCCTCTCATCTGCGACTGCTTGACAGAGTAGAAAACAGAGCAAGACGTCTCATCTCTCGCCTGGACCCATCCTGGATAGATCTGTCATTTCAGCAGAGCCTTCAACATAGGAGGGATGTGGGTGGCCTTACTGTTATGTACAAGGCCAATATTGTCAAAATACCACACTTGGATCCACTTCGAGGACAGCGTGAAACAAGCTTTTATACCACAAGACGGGCAGAAAGCAGCAACTTCACTCTGGCTGTACCTTTCTCCAGAACATCACTCCATCTGAGATCATACATACCCAGGATGACTCGAGTATGGAACACATTCGTACAGCATAATGATGTCAACGAGATAAAGTCAGTTGATCAAATGAAAATGCTGGCTCACAGATGGCTCCAACTTCATCCTGTTCCCTACTTGTATGTCTCATAACAATAAAAGTGCTTTCAAATGAGCTGATGTAGGTAACAGCTCTTAGCTTGCCAATAAAGTTAGGAATCCTTAACCTGTAAATAGCTTGTCAATAAAGCTAGGGATCCTTAACCTTGTCAAACCCTGTGTAAAAAAAAAAAAAAAAAAAAAAAAAAAGAGAGAGAGAGATAGACAGAGATTGATAGAGATAGACAGAGAGATAGAGATACACAGAGATTGACAGAGATAGACAGAGATATAGACAGAGAGATAGAGATAGACAGATATATATATATATATATATATAAGAGAGAGAGAGAGAGAGAGTGTGAAAGTTTATAAACCAGAAGAGGAGGTAGTTAGGGTAAGATATAAGCAGCTATGGGAGAAAGATGGGTTAGAAAGAGTATAGGTAATGTGGTTAATGTTTTTTTTATTAACACATTGGCCGTTTCCCATGAAGGCAAGGTGACCTGAAAAAAAAAAAAAAACTTTCATCATTCACTCCATCACTGTCCTGCCAGAGGTGTGCCTACATTACAGTTAAAAAAAACTGCAATATATCTCCCTTTTGCAGAGCACAGGTGCTGTACTTCCCACCTCCAGGACTCAAATCCAGCTAACCCTTCATAAATGTTACTTTGCTAACACCCCAACAGCAAGTCAAGTCATAAAATCCATTTGCCTCTACTCGTTCCTATCTAACTCGCTCCTAACATGATTGTGCACGCTTGCTGGAAGTCTAAGCCCCTTACATACAAAACCTCCTTTCTTGATCTTTTGGGAGATTCTGAAGAGAAGTTGCAAGGGTTAGATGAATTTGGGAGGGCTATGTAAAAGAAAGAAATTAAAAGTGAACATAGGAAAGAGAAAGGTGGTGACGGTAACAAAAAATTTAGGTAATGGAAGATTGGAAAGAGGGTATATGGAGGAAGTGAATGGGTTCAGATATTTGGGAGCTGACTTGTCAGCAGATGGGTCTATGAAAGACAAGGTGAGCCATAGAACTAACAAGGGGGTAAAAAAGGCAGGCGGTGCAGTGAGGCATCTGTGGAGATAAAGAATGTTATCTATGGTGGAAAAAAAAAGAGAGAAATGTATGAAAGTATAGAGGTACAAATACTCTTATATGGGTGTGAAGCATTGGTTGTGAATGTTGCGGTGAGGAGGAGGCTGGAGGTAGTGGAGATGTTGTGTTTGAGGGCAATGTGTGGTAAATATTATGCAGAAAATTTATAGCTTGGAGATTAGGAGGGGTGAGGTTACTAAAAGTATTATCCAAAGGGCTGAGGAGGGGTTGATGAGGTGGTTTGGACATTTAGAGAGGGTGGAGTAAAATAAGATGGCTTTGAGGGTGTACAGTGAGTGCAGGCAAGTGGTTTTTATAGCTTGACATATTGCTGAATTGTGAGTATGGTAACATTTATGACAAGGTTCAGGAAACCGGTCAGCTGGACTCAAGTTTTGGAGGTGGGAATTATAGTGCCTGCACTCTGAAGGAGGGGTGGGGATACTTCAGTTTGGAGGTGCATCTAAACTAGTATCAGCATAAAATAGTAACATAGTAAAGTGATGATGAAGGTGTTCCGTCTTTTTCAGGCCACCCTACCTTGGTGGGAGATGGCTGGCATGCTTAAAAAAAAAAATCTCAAAAACAAATTGAGTAGGTTATACTTTTCATAGAAGAATGTCCAAGTTCTTCCATTAATAATAATTCTTTTGACTATGTTCTAAATTCAGCACAACTCATAATAGCTTGATACATGATATCAATCCTTGGTGTATGATATCAACCCCCACATCTTTGAGAGATGATACTAAATTTTACAAGTATTTTTAATGTACTGTGATTTCTCTAACAGTAAATCAGCATAGAAACTTGGAACATATTATAAGTCATGCTCTTGGAGTAAGTCAAAATACGGTACTTCAGACACTTCCCATATAGCTACTGTATTACTGCTACAACCACTACTGCTATGTGCATGATACAGATAATGAGCAGACAGCATTCGTGAGCTAGTCTGTCAATCAGTGTGTCTGTGCTCCTCTAGACCACAGTAGCAGAAAAACTTTGAGTTCACTTTGAAAAACAATAATTATAAAGACCAACATACCACATGTGTCCAGAAGGTGCCTGTAGGGAAACATGAGATGAATACTGGAAGGCTGGTTGCTGACTGGAGAGTACTGGCTCCTGTCCCACAACACCTCGACCACGTACTGTTTCTAAAGTCCCAGACAAACTGAATATGCGCCAATGTCTCTCTCTCAGCTGTACTGTTAAGTCTCCTAGGTTTTCTAAACGAATGCAATACCTCCACTGCAATCAACATAATGGATTTTAAAATTTAACAAAAATCACAATAAATAATACTAATATCAAAAACACTCAAATTATCCGTTACTCAATATTCAGTATGTACTATATAAATGTGCCACAGAGAACACCAACTTACCCAATAAACATTAGCATTCTGTGATTCTCTACACCCCATATAAAAGGGTATAACAGTGACTCTAATATTCTCTGTAGTTTCCTTGTGCACATCTGAGAGCTCCAGCCATGGGTGGTTACGCTCCTGCCATGCCATCAGTGTTTCACGAGCACAAAATGGAGGATCTAAAAGTGCCATTATAAATAATCAATATACAGTTCAGTTTTTATACATCTTAATTTATGATTATATTTATTAGACTATTATAGGCAATAAACTAATAAAAAAGCTAATTACTGTGCCTAAAATCTTTGGCCTGAAAACACCACCAAACTATAATTAAAATCTACCAAAATTTAGCATTATAAACAGTTTATAATAAGCCTAAAATAGAGTACAGTATGTAATACATAAACCAACTTTCTCTCAAAGGATTACAGAGCTAAACTTAGATCCCCCAAATTCATGGTCTATGTATTATTTACTTAGTATCAACATTAAATCAATAAATCTGAAACAAATACATGTACAGTTGTCGCTCCAAATTCATGAGTTTCCTTATTCCCAGATTATGATTACCTAACATGTTTACCGAGAGGCAGCATGCAAATAGGTGTAATTATCCAACACTTTCCAATGTACAGTATTTCCAGCACCCAAATATATTTTTATTATCGTCATTATTTCTTATGAATGTTAATAGTAACAAGATTAAAGTGATATACTAGAAATATGGTGTCTGAAACATGAAACCAAATCAAAACAAATTTTGCTGAACAGACTTAGCATTATTAGCTACTTCTAATTTTACAATACCTTCAAGAGTATAAACTCCTCTTAAATTTAGAATCGCAATTTTTTTTTTAAAACGTCAGCCGTTTCTCACTGAGGCAGGGTGACCCAAAAAGAAAGAAAAACACAAAAAGAAAGAAAAAACCTTCATCATCATCCAACACTTTCACTATCACTCATACATAATCACTATCTTTGCAGAGGCGCTCAGATACGACAGTTTAGATGTCCCTCCAAACTGCCAATATCCCAAACCCCTCCTTTAAAGTGCAGGCAGGCACTGTGCTTCCCACTTCCAGGGCTCAAGTCTAGCTAACTGGTTTCCCTGCATTCCTTCACAAAATATTACCTTGCTCACACTCCAACAGTTGTCAGGTCCCAAAAACCATTCGTCTCTATTCACTCCTATTTAACACACTCACTCACGCTTGCTGGAAGTCCAAGCCCCTCGCCCACAAAACTTCCTTTACCCCCCTCCCTCCAACCTTTTCGAGGACGACCCCTACCTGCCTTCCTTCCTCTACAGATTAATACTCTCTCCAAGTCATTCTACTTTGTTCCATTCTCTCCAATTCTCTGTAAATGAGCAATCTACCATAATAATCCCTCTTCAGCCCTCCGACTAATACTAGTCACAAATATACGTACTTCAAATAAAACAAAATTCTGGACAACGATGGACAGTACTATATGGTACTGGAGTATTATACACCCATTTCATAGGTGTACTGGAGTAAGCCGTGATGCTTCAAACAGTGGAATGCTTCTGACAAGTCAATCTTTTGTTAAAGCATTTGTCCAATGTGCTCAAGATGTGGGGAAAACTTGGGTTATGAAGGCATCACCTATAATTTTGGCCAAAGCCTGCTCAAAGCCATATTTTTGCTGGTAAGATTCCATGAAATTTTGTAATTCTTTTGTATTTTCTAAATATTTATTAACATCCAGTGCTGTGAATATGTCAGACATTCAAATAAACTAGTGCAACTTTAGTGTATAGTGTACTGCACTGTATCTGGAAGCAATACGAGTTTATCTTGTGCAAATCTCTAAATTACTTTTATTTTTGCTATTGAAAACTACTATTTCTTCATACATGGAGGGAATGGGGACAAAAGAGATTGTAAAAATTATAGAGGAATAAGTTTACTGAGTATACCAGGAGAAGTGTACGGTAGGGTCATAACTGAAAGAATTAGAGGTAAGACAGAATGCAGGATTGCGGATGAGCAAGAAGGTTTCAGAGTGGGTAGGGGATGTGTAGATCAAGTGTTTACATTGAAGCATATATGTGAACAGTATTTAGATAAAGGTAGGGAAGTTTTTATTGCATTTATGGATTTAGAAAAGGCATATGATAGAGTGGATAGGGGAGCAATGTGGCAGATGTTGCAAGTATATGGAATAGGTGGTAAGTTACTAAATGCTGTAAAGAGTTTTTATGAGGATAGTGAGGCTCAGGTTAGGTGTGTAGAAGAGAGGGAGACTACTTCCCAGTAAAAGTAGGTCTTAGACAGGGATGTGTAATGTCACCATGGTTGTTTAATATATTTATAGATGGGGTTGTAAAAGAAGTAAATGCTAGGGTGTTCGGGAGAGGGGTGGGATTAAATTATGGGGAATCAACTACAAAATGGGAATTGACACAGTTACTTTTTGCTGATGATACTGTGCTTATGGGAGATTCTAAAGAAAAATTGCAAAGGTTAGTGGATGAATCTGGGAGTGTGTGTAAAGGTAGAAAGTTGAAAGTGAACATAGAAAAGAGTAAGGTGATGAGGGTATCAAATAATTTAGATAAAGAAAAATTGGATATCAAATTGGGGAGGAGTATGGAAGAAGTGAATGTTTTCAGATACTTGGGAGTTGATGTGTCGGCAGATGGATTTATGAAGGATGAGGTTAATCACAGAATTGATGAGGTAAAAAAGGTGAGTGGTGCGTTGAGGTATATGTGGAGTCAAAAAACGTTATCTATGGAGGCAAATAAGGAAATGTATGAAAGCATAGTAGTACCAACACTCTTATATGGATGTGAAGCTTGGGTTGGGAATGCAGCAGCGAGGAGGCAGTTGGAGGCAGTGGAGATGTCCTGTCTAAGGGCAATGTGTGGTGTAAATATTATGCAGAAAATTCGGAGTGTGGAAATTAGTCAGAGGGCTGAAGAGGGGTTGTTGAGGTGGTTTGGTCATTTAGAGAGAATGGATCAAAGTAGAATGACATGGAGAGCATTTAAATCTGTAGGAGAAGGAAGGCAGGGTAGGGGTTGTCCTTGAAAAGGTTGGAAGGAAGGGGTAAGGGAGGTTTTTGGGCGAGGGGCTTGGACTTCCAGCAGGCGTGCATGAGCGTGTTCGATAGGAGTGAATGGAGACGAATGGTATTTGGGACCTGACGATCTGTTGGAGTGTGAGCAGGGTAATATTTAGTGAAGGGATTCAGGGAAACTGGTTATTTTTATATAGCCGGACTTGAGTCCTGGAAATGGGAAGTACAGTGGACCCTCGACCAACGATGGCATCGATTAACGATAAATCCGACTAGAGATACATTTTAACACAAAAATTTTGCCTCGACTAGCACTAAAAAACTCGACCAACACTATTCGTTCCGTCTGAGACGCGTCCACTTCTGGCCAGTGTTTACAAGCCAGCCAGCCACTGCAGTTGCTTCCAAGCATACAATCAGAACATTTCATATTATCACAGCCTTTTTAGTGAGTGCACCTGCAAAATAAGTCACCATGGGCCCCAAGAAAGCTTCTAGTGCCAATCCTACAGCAAAAAGGTGAGAATTACTATGGATATGAAGAAAGAGATCATTGTTAAGTATGAAAGTGGAGTGCGTGTCTCTGAGCTGGCCAGGTTGTACACAAAACCCCAATCAACCATCGCTACTATTGTGGGCAAGAAAACAGCAATCAAGGAAGCTGTTCTTGCCAAAGGTGCAACTATGTTTTTGAAACTGAGATCGCAAGTACTCGAAGATGTTGAGAGACTGTTATTGGTGTGGATAAACGAAAAACAGATAGCAGGAGATAGCATCTCTCAAGTGATCATATGTGAAAAGGCTAGGAAGTTGCATGACGATTTAATTTAAAAAATGCCAGCAACTAGTGATGTGAGTGAATTTAAGGCCAGCAAAGGTTGGTTTGAGAGATTTAAAGGGAAGGGAAGTAACCCTGGAAAAGGACTTGCCACCTCAAGTCCTAATGGAAGGGGATTCCCCTTCTAAACACTAAGACCATCAACACACTCCCCTCCTCCCATCCCATCAATCATCACCAGATCTTCAATAAAGGCAAGTGTCATGTAACTGTGCATGTCTTCTTCAGTTTGTGTGTATTAAAATTAATATTTCATGTGGTAAAAACAATTTTTTTTTCATACTTTGGGGTGTCCTACACGGATTAATTTGATTTCCACTATTTCTTATGGGGAAAATTAACTTGACTAACGATAATTTTGACTAACGATGAGCTCTCAGGAACGGATTAATAGTGTTAGTCGAGGGTCCACTGTACAATGCCTGCACTCTAAAGGAGGGGTTTCGGGATATTAGCAGTTTGGAGGGATATGTTGTGTATCTTTATACGTATATACTTCTAAATTGTTGTGTTCTGAGCACCTCTGCAAAAACAGTGATTATGTGAGAGGTGAAAGTGTTGAATGATGATGAAAGTATTTTCTTTTTGGGGATTTTCTTTCTTTTTTGGGTCACCCTGCCTCAGTGGGAGTCGGTCGACTTGCTGGAAAAAAAACAAAAAAACATGGAGGACTTCCAGCAAGCGTGCCTGGCGTGTTAGATAGGAGTGAATGGAGACAAATGGTATTTGGAACCTGACGAGCTGTTGGAGTGTGAGCAGGGTAATATTTAGTGAAGGGATTCAGGGAAACTGGTTATTTTTATATAGCCGGACTTGAGTCCTGGAAATGGGAAGTACAATGCCTGCACTTTAAAGGAGGGGTTTGGGATATTGGCAGTTTGGAGGGATATACTGTGTATTTTTTTATACGTATATACTTCTAAACTGTTGTATTCTGGGTACCTCTGCAAAAACAGTGATTACGTGTGAGTGAGGTGAAAGTGTTGAATGATGAAAATATTTTCTTTTTGGGGATTTTCTTTCTTTTTGGGTCACCCTGCCTCGGTGGGAGGCGGCTGACTTGTTGAAAAAAAAAAAAATGGATTATAATACAGTAGCTGCCCCTTGGAGTTTTAAGATAAATGAATTTTGTGTAAAAAAAAAAAATATGAAAGGATGCAGTGAGTACAATGAGAGACAACTCAATAATTGTAAAGGGACCAAGACTTTTCTACACCCTTCCTTCATACATAAGGGGGATTACCAAAAGACCTCTAGCTGTCTTCAAGAGGGTATGTGATAAGTTCTTCAAGTCAGCTCCTGATCAGCCAGACTGTGGTGCATATGGTAGACTGTGTGTGACTAGCATCAACAGCCTGGTTAATCAGGCCATCCACTGGAAGGCCTAGTCTTGGACCGGGCAGCAGGGGCACTGACCCCTGAAGAACTCCAGGTAACCTTCAGGTAAGAAAACTGAAGGCAACCCTTCAGTTCAGACAGGCTGCCATTAAATATAAGGTGTCAATGAGCATTATTATGGATTACGTCAGCAGAGCTTAGACTAGAAGCCTAGCCTGTTACCAATTTGTGGGTTTGTTCTGGGATGGTGAAAAATATAGAATGAGCTCTACCTGTCAAGATGAATACTTCATGCAAGTGCAGTATTCTGTGGAAGAACTCAAAGCTAATGTTGATGGGGGAACTGTTAATAAAATATATATGCAAGATATATTTGAAAGTCTGTAAATGATGCTGATGATTAACCCTTTCAGGATTGAAGAATTAAAAATAAAAAAACTCATGAAACGATAGAGAATCTTTTTCCAAAGGTAATGAAACCAAAAATATGAAATTTGATGTTCAACTTATGGAATTACGCTCTCACAAAGTTAGCAGTCTCAGTGATATTTACGCATCAGTGATTTCGCCCACTTTGCACCCTATTTTTGGCCAATTCCATTGTTCCATTCGACCAAGCCCTCAGCAATTTTGCTAGTATTCCTTCTATTCTATCAACTGAATACAAGAAACCACCCATTTACCTATTTCGACAACCTAATAAAGTAATCAGAAATCAGTAATTTGGCCAATTTCACACAAAACTAAAAAAATTGCAAATTTAAAAACTGGGTCCAGAATAAGCAATGGAGACATTCCTGGCCCTAAAAGAAAATATTCCTCCATTCCTTATTCACATCTCCAGGCCCCTCTTATATTATGCCTGCTTTCCATTTTGAATTTTTATTCACTCACAAAAATAGGTTAACTGTTATGCAGACTACTGCATTACTATAATAATTGTATAAATAATGTCAGTGTATTCCCAAATGCATATCAGACTAGCAAGCTGGACACATATTGGACAAATGATGTCATTTGTGTACTCTGGAATATCGGCAAAAGCTGAACATTTCTGCTACTTGGAGCTCAATTTCAAGCTACTTTCAGTCCTGACACCAATCAAAATCATCTCTATTTCTGTAAATATATCTTCCAGTCTATCAAACAAGACCAAGAAACTGAGCATACAACCATAAAAACCCTATGAAAATGTGCCACAAAGTCGCTGTTTTAAATCAAATACACAGTTGCAGTTCTCCTTATGTACTGTGTGCTCCAGAATTTTTTTTTATATGGTGCACACTTACTGCACGGGCCCATTTTCTCACATCTAGGCCCAAATTTACTGCTCACAGCTTATCTGAGTGAGCTGTGGTCATGGTGTTGTACTACAGGACCAACACTGGCTTCAAAGTCTTTATATAATGCAACCACACCGAAAGGGTTAAGCAACAAAACTCATTGACATAATACTAAACACAAAAGTTTCTATGATATTCAGTGTCCAATTTAGCATGTATAAGAGGACCTAAAATATGGAACCTTGCCAGAAGATTCCAGAGGCTCTCTATCTGCCAACCACTTCAAACATACTGTACTATTAAAAAACACCTCCTTACCTTAATGTTTTCATGACAACAATTTATTATGTTAAACAAATACTGAAACCCTGTCTGTCATCCAATATTGTCCCTGTTCTTGTTCCATCATTCCTTAAACTCTCATTTATTACAAGGCATTTTTTTTTTGTATCAATTCAGGTACTAACATTATCCAAAATGAATCTTTTATTAGAATTTTTATTAAATCACTGAATACCTTCGATATAATATAAACTAGTATTCTTATGCTCATGTACTATACCTGTCTCTGTCTAGTAATTATAAATAACAAAAAAAGGCACAATACTGTGACTGGAACAATACACAAATAACCCGCACATAGAAGAGAGGAGCTTATGACGACGTTTCGGTCCGACTTGGACCATTTACAAAGTCACACTATCGAGAAGTAGAGTAGGATGGGTATATATAGGCGAGAAGTAATGGTAGTGGTGGCGGCGGCAGCGAGCGGCAGCAGCAGCAGTGGAAGTGGAAGTAGTAGTGAGGAAGTAAGGAGGAGCCAGTCAAATACTAAGAGAGGGGAGCACTGCAAGGGACCTAGGTGCCCACAGAGGAAGAGCGAGAATACAGAGGTGGGGGGGGGGGGGAATAAAATAAATAATAAAGGAACAGAAAGATATTTACCTATGCTCTGACACAAACCAAATATGTCTGCTTGTAAAAAATGACTTTCAACAAATGGTTTCATATTTTTTTTTTTTTTTATCACACTGGCCGATTCCCACCAAGGCAGGGTGGCCCGAAAAAGAAAAACTTTCACCATCATTCACTCCATCACTGTCTTGCCAGAAGGGTGCTTTACACTACAGTTTTTAAACTGCAACATTAACACCCCTCCTTCAGAGTGCAGGCACTGTACTTCCCATCTCCAGGACTCAAGTCCGGCCTGCTGGTTTCCCTGAACCCCTTCATAAATGTTACTTTGCTCACACTCCAACAGCACGTCAAGTATTAAAAACCATTTGTCTCCATTCACTCCTATCAAACACGCTCACGCATGCCTGCTGGAAGTCCAAGCCCCTCGCACACAAAACCTCCTTTACCCCCTCTCTCCAACCTTTCCTAGGCCGACCCCTACCCCGCCTTCCTTCCACTACAGACTGATACACTCTTGAAGTCATTCTGTTTCGCTCCATTCTCTCTACATGTCCGAACCACCTCAACAACCCTTCCTCAGCCCTCTGGACAACAGTTTTGGTAATCCCGCACCTCCTCCTAACTTCCAAACTACGAATTCTCTGCATTATATTCACAACCACACATTGCCCTCAGACATGACATCTCCACTGCCTCCAGCCTTCTCCTCGCTGCAACATTCATCACCCATGCTTCACACCCATATAAGAGCGTTGGTAAAACTATACTCTCATACATTCCCCTCTTTGCCTCCAAGGACAAAGTTCTTTGTCTCCACAGACTCCTAAGTGCACCACTCACTCTTTTCCCCTCATCAATTCTATGATTCACCTCATCTTTCATAGACCCATCCGCTGACACGTCCACTCCCAAATATCTGAATACATTCACCTCCTCCATACTCTCTCCCTCCAATCTGATATTCAATCTTTCATCACCTAATCTTTTTGTTATCCTCATAACCTTACTCTTTCTTGTATTCACCTTTAATTTTCTTCTTTTGCACACCCTACCAAATTCATCCACCAATCTCTGCAACTTCTCTTCAGAATCTCCCAAGAGCACAGTGTCATCAGCAAAGAGCAGCTGTGACAACTCCCACTTTGTGTGTGATTCTTTATCTTTTAACTCCACGCCTCTTGTCAAGACCCTCGCATTTACTTCTCTTACAACCCATCTATAAATATATTAAACAACCACGGTGACATCACACATCCTTGTCTAAGGCCTACTTTTACTGGAAATAATTTCCCTCTTTCCTACATACTCTAACTTGAGCCTCACTATCCTCGTAAAAACTCTTCACTGCTTTCAGTAACCTACCTCCTACACCCAATACATTGCAACATCTGCTACATTGCCCCCTATCCACCTGTCATCGCCTTTTCAAATCCATAAATGCCACAAAGACCTCTTTAGCCTTATCTAAATACTGTTCACTTATATGTTTCATGTAAACACCTGGTCCACACACCCCCTACCTTTCCTAAAGCCTCCCTTGTTCATCTGCTATCCTATTCTCCGTCTTACTCTTAATTCTTTCAATAATAATTTACCATAACACTTTACCAGGTATACTCAGCAGACTTATCCCCTATAATTTTTGCACTCTCTTTTATCCCCTTTGCCTTTATACAAAGGAACTATGCATGCTCTCTGCCAATCCCTAGGTACCTTACCCTCTTCCATACATTTATTAAATAATTGCACCAACCACTCCAAAACTATATCCCCACCTGCTTTTAACATTTCTATCTTTATCCCATCAATCCCGGCTGCCTTACCCCCTTTCATTTTACCTACTGCCTCACGAACTTCCCCCACACTCACAACTGGCTCTTCCTCACTCCAACAAGATGTTATTCCTCCTTGTCCTATACACGAAATCACATACACAAATCATCTTCACACTCTCCTCATAAAAAGGCAAACATAAAAAAAAAATACATGAGCACATCTACTCATCATGTAACATATTTGCAAAATAATTTAAGCTAACCTTTCTCAGCAGCATATATAAGAAACTTATCAAACAAATCATGTCTGATAGGTCTCTTACTTACTGCAACATATGGCATTACATCTTCATGTCCAATGTAGTCTAATCCTGGCACGGCATACAGTGTTCTGCCATTATCTTGATTACCCAAGAATGTAACAGCTTCAGTTTGGGCTCTCTGTAAACAATAAATGAAACTGTTATACTTACCACTGTGTCTGAATTAGATATTGTTATATTATTTGCAAGCAGTTGGCTATTTAGTGTGTCATTCCCTGGACTTCTACAGGAAATTACCTGGTTCCATAGGCATACTCCCTCCCATGGAAAAAAGGGAATATATTGTTAACCCCGATGATGCCATGAGCCATAATGGCTAGTACTTTCTGTATGTATCAGGAAGGTCTGAAATGACAGAGATACTCTCATAAGTTTTTCCTGCATGGAAACACCTGACTTGCCAGGTCCCCTCACCTGGAACTTGGAACTTACACTGGCTCATTTGTAATAAAGTGCTGCTAAGGGTGTATTACATGATCACAAACTTGTCTGTATACTTATGATCTCGGTCAGAAAACCTCATTTAATACAATGTACGAATGAGTGGTCACTGCACGCATCAACATTTTCCAGGCTAACAACCAATCATAGCTGCCAGCTATCAATTAAACCATATAATAACAGTTCATAAGCAAATAAAACTTAACACTACAGAGCTCTTAATTCTTCCTCATAGAATATGGCCTATTAATACAGGTAATTATCTTTCAAGTGTGTGAAAAAGACATCTGCTGAAAACTGGAACTTCAGAATTACACCATTCCAATTGATGTGGGTTTGGTGGGTTCCTACTTGTTTGGTACAATTAGTCATGTGTTGTTACACGACCTGTAAAATTTTTGGAGATTGTTTTTCTTTTGTTTTTATGTCAGATACAATGATGTATATGAATTTCAGTGAATAATCACCTTTTGCACAACACACAAAAGGGGGTAAAGCAGCATGAACTGACGGGATTATGACAGAAATGGTAAAAGCAGGGGGGGGTGATATGGGGTTGGAATGGTTGGTATTTTTGTTTAATAAATGTATAGAATAGGGGAAGGTACCTAGGGATTGGCAAAGAGCATGTATAGTTCCTTTACATAAAGGGAAGGGGGACAAAAGAGATTGTAAAAATTATAGAGGAATAAGTTTACCGAGTATACCAGGAAAAGTGTATGGCAGGGTTATTATTGAAAGAATTAGAGGTAAGACAGAGTAGGATTGTGGATGAGCAAGGAGGCTTTAGAGTGGGTAGGGGATGTGTAAATCAAGTGTTTACATTGCAGCATATATGTGAACAGTTTTCATTGCATTTATGGATTTAGAAAAGGCATATGATAGAGTGGATAGGGGAGCAATGTGGCAGATGTTGCAAGTATGTGGAATAGGTAGTAAGTTACTAAATGCTGTAAAGAGTTTTTATGAGGATAGTGAGGCTCAGGTTAGGATGTGTAGAAGAAAGGGAGATTACTTCCCAGTAAAAGAAGGTCTTACACAGGGATGTGTAATGTCACCATGGTTGTTTAATATATTTATAGACAGGGTAGTAAAAGAAGTATATGCTAGGGCGTTGGGGAGAGAGGTGGGATTAAATTCTGCAGAATCAAATACAAAATGGGAGTTGACAGTTACTTTTTGCTGATGATACTGTGTTTATGGGCGATTCTAAAGAAAAGTTGCAAAGGTTAGTGGATGAGTTTGGGAGGGTGTGTAAAGGTAGAAATTTGAAAGTGAACATAGATAAGAGTAAGGTGATGAGGGTATCAAATGATTTAGATACAGAAAAATTGGATATCACATTGGAGAGAAGGAGTATGGAAGAAGAAAATGTTTACAGATATCTGGGAGTTGATGTGTCAGTGGATGGGTTTATGAAGGATGAGGTTAACCATAGAAATGATGAGGAAAAAAAGGCGAGTGGTGCATTGAGGTATATGTGAGGAGGCGGTTGGAGGCAGTGGAGATGTCCTGTCTAAGGGGAATGTGTGGTGTAAATGTTATGCAGAGAATTCAAAGTGTGGAAATTAGGAGAAGGTGTGGAGTTAATAAAAGTATTAGTCAGAGGGCTGAAGAGGGGTTGTTGAGGTGGTTTGGTCATTTAGAGAGAATGGATCAAAGTAGAATGACATGGAAAGCATATAAATCTGTAGGGAAAGGAAGGTGGGGTAGGGGTCATCCTCGAAAAGGTTGGAGGGAGGGGGGTAAAGGTGGTTTTGTGGGTGAGGGGCTTGGACTTCCAGCAAGCATGCACAAGTATGTTAGATAGGAGTAAATGGAGACGAATGGTTTTTGGGACCTGACGAGCTGTTGGAGTGTGAGCAAGGTAATATTTAGTGAAGGGATTCAGGGAAACCGGTTATTTTTATATAGCCAGATTTGAGTTCTGGAAATGGGAAGTGTAACAGGACAGTATATATATAATTGGGCCCTGATATTACATTCTAAAGGGAGTTTATAATATTATTTCAGGTCACTTTTTATATTGTATCTTTATGCTTCTAAACTGTTGTATCTGGGCACCTCTGCAAAAACAGTGATTATGTATGAGTGAGGTTAAAGTGTTGAATGATGATGAAAGTATTTTCGTTTTGGGTTACCCTGCCTAGGCGGGAGACGGCTGACTTGTTGAAAAAAAAATGTTCCATAAAAAATGGAGCTATATGTGAAAACACAGTAGGTGGAGTGAACAACTCACAGAAAAAATTGGGTTATATTCCATGCCACCTTGACAGCCAAACAACTTTTCTTATATGTATACAATTCACCTAATATAAACTAAATATTATACAATGATTTTTAAAACCACACGGATGTTATGGGCATTAATGTATATTATTATAGTATGATGCAGGATGATTTAACCTAGCATAACCTAAGAAAGTTGTTGCTGATTAAGTGGCTTGATGTCTGTGGAGAGGCTTGGTGTGGGAAGAGGTCGATGCAGAGTTATTATTTACAGGAGCCCTGAAGTATTCTCCTATGTCTGCTGTGCATTATTCAGCAATACTTTATACAGCTGATGGTAGGGCATCATCAGCAGCTTTAGATCAGGGCTTCTAGATATGTCAGCATCCTCTTCAATGAAAAAGTCTTTAAGTTTAGCAGCAGCATGAAACTGCTCCCATAACTGTGAAAGTGTTAACCATTTCTTTGCAGGCTCTTCTTTCTCATCCCCTTCAACTCTCTGAGTCCCTTCTATCTGGTAATTCAGCTCTGCCAACATTTCCTCTGGACTTCTTTCTTCCTCATTATCTTCTAACGGTTTATTGATGTCTTCTGGCTGCATGTCCTCAAAGCCCTCACCAAGCAATCTCCTTGCCAACTGAACAGTTACCTCAACTGTGAAATATTCACCATGCTCACCATAATTTTCTCCAGCCTGCATTTATTGTTGATTGGGGCACATTATTCCACAAAGCTTTGACATGGGGTAAGGCACTTGTTGAATTTATACAAAAACTCTAGAGCTCCAAGCTCAGAGTCATTGTCTACTGCTGCAATCAGTTTCTGCCCCACTCTGTGTGTGTGTGCAGATAAACTTAAATAGCTTGATTACACCTTGATCCAGTGGTTGTATCAGTCATGTCGTATTTGGTGGTAAAAAAAAAAACATTAAAGTTTAACCCTTTGGGGGTTTCGGACGTACTAGTACGGCTTACGACTCAGGGTTTTTGACGTACTAGTACGCCTAAATTCTAGCGCCCTCAAATCTAGTGAGAGAAAGCTGGTAGGCCTACATATGTAAGAATGGGTCTATGTGGTCAGTGTGCGCAGTATAAAAAAAATCCTGCAGCACACAGTGTGTAATGAGAGGAAAAAAAAAATTTGACCGTGTTTTTGGATTAAAACAGCGACTTTGCACTGTATTTTCGTATGGTATTTATTGTTGTATTCTAGTTTTCCTGGTCTCGTTTTATAGAATGGAAGACATATTACAGAAATTGAGATGATTTTGATTGGTTTTACAATGAAAAGTACCTTGAAATTGAGCTCAAAGTAGCAGAAATGTTAAATTTTTACCGAAGTTCAAAAGTAAACAAATCATGCCAAGCGTCCAATACACATCAACTGGCGAGTCTAATATTCTTTCACAAGTGCGCTGATATTATTTATTACCATTTCTACACTAATGCAGTAGTCTGCATAACAGTTTAAAACTTATTTTTTTGTGAGAATAAAAATTCAAAGTGGAAAGCCAAAGAAATATAAGAGGGGCCTGGGGATGTGACTAACGAACAGAGAACTTATTTTAGTGCCAGGAATGTCTTTCTTGTTTATTCTGGACCCTATTCAGAAATTGGCATCCTTTGAAATTTGTGTGAAAACTGGCAAAATTGCTAAATTCTGACCACTTATTGGATTTGTTGAATCGGTAAATGGGGTGGTTTTTTGTACTCATTCGATATAAAAAAAATGAAGTTCTAGCAAAATAGCTATGATTTTTGTCGACTAGTACACTGGGGAAATTTGGCCGGAAAATTAGGGCCCCAAAGTGGGCAAAATCGCCAATGCGTAAACATCGTCGAGACCGCTAACTTCGCGAGAGCATAATTCCGTAAGTTTTCCATCAAATTTCATACTTTTGGTGTCATTATGATCAGGAAAAGATTCTCTACCTTTTCATTAGAAAAAATAATTTTTTTGTTTTTGAAATTTGGCTGACCCTGAGAACAAGTCTCTGAGAGGACCTGTCGACCCCCAAAGGGTTAAATTTTGTAATAGGTCAGGATGAGCAAGGGAATTATCAAGTCAGGAGAATCTTGAATACGAGGCTCTTGTGCACAGATAAAACAAGACTTCAGGAATAAAATGATGCTTGAACCAGTCAGCAAATAATTCCTCTGTCTTCCATGCTGACTTGTATGACCTCCAGATAACAGGAAAAGTGATTTTGTCTTTCCATTTTAAATCATGGGGATTCTTTGAGCAATAAACAAGCATGGGTCTGCACTTAATGTCACCTGTTACAATAATGCACAGCTAATGCAATAGCAGCACCTTTTTTTTTTTTTTGCCTGCTGACGTAAGCTCTAAAAGGCATCTTTTTCCAGAACCATGCTCTTTCATCAGCACTAAACACTTGTTCTGGTGCACAGCCACCCTCAGAAATCATTTCCAGTAACTCAGCAGGAA